ATTTTAATTTCGAGAGTGGAAGCTCCGTAGTGAAGTTGCCACCAGGCTTTTCTGATTTATGCCGTTACATTCTTGTTTCATATTATATTTCTCCCTGAAGACTGATCGAATACGATCTGAGACGCCTGAGAATATGTATCTAATAAATACGATATGTCATGTCATCTCGTAATGTAAACCTCAAATATAGCGATGAAAGGAGGTTGATCCGAAGCTGTTGGAGATATGTATGAGGTATCAGAGAGCCCGTTGCCATCATAGGAAGTCAAATAAGATTCCACAAGAATTATATCAGCAGTTGGAGCTCACAGTTCAAGAGTGGTGTACTTCCTCCCACAGAACAAGGAAAGTTTAAGGATGATGAGGCCGTGACTGACTGGATATAGTTACACGCTCGTCATTGAAGTGCAAGGCACTGAAATTTTGAACCTCCCTGGGAAGAAACTATTCTACATGGACGTCGACTCCTCAACCCGCGATCAGTAGAAGCCTGTCAGAGGAAGACTGACGATCCTCTGACGTAAGTTGCAACAAATGAAAGTTTTGACACGCTATATGCCAATGGGCCCAAGTATTATGGAGAATATGAATCCTTTCTGGAGGAAGTAGGAGATGCTTTGTTCGAAGTGCTGAGCACGTGATACTATAAAGTATTTATGGGGTACCACCGTTGACTGATAGATCAGCGTTTTTCAGTCACGGTCCACGGTTCATGACCGTACGAATGTACGGGGTTGAATACCGACTTGAACACCGAGAGCTTAGTTTTCAGACTCATCTTTGCTTTAGTCACAATGGTTTGAGTTAGTTGATACACAACGTCGCTGGCTACTACAATCTATCGATCAATCTCTATATCCCATTTTCCATCACCAGTAAATATAACTCTTATGTACCAGAACTTCTCGACCTTCAACACTGCTTCTCTGTTTATCTGAGGACTGCAAGGGGCACGAAAACGAGAAAGCACGTTTTAGATGCGTTCACACGCATGCCGGTCACGTCGCACTCGGCTGCGAACCTTTCTAAGGAGCACTGGGCGTTCACACGCATGCCGGTCACGTCGCACTCGGCTGCGAACCTTTCTAAGGAGCACTGGAGATCAGTTTCAGAAGGTGCTAATAAAACAAGGTCGCTTGCAAACAGCAATCTTCTCGACTTCACATCTCCTATATCGATACATTCATCGCCTTGGCAGCTCCTATTCTATCCATGTACAACACAAGCAGGAAAGAGGCAAGACGCAGCCTTGGCGAAGATCATTGCCAAGGTTGAAAGGTTTCGACTTAACGCCATTCACTCTGACGCAGCACCTGCTATCAGAA